AAGTGATGGATTGGATAACGAGTTCTGGACCAATGTGTACAACTGTACGCTAATCCTATCCTGACCTAACCCAGACTAAACCTGATCTCGCTTCTGGGGTGCCATATGTGAACCAGTTTTCTGACAGTCATTATCGCAGAATAGTAAGCGTTGTAGGTGTCATTATGAACACATTCTCTCCCTCTTATACCTGTCTACGAAACCTGCCGACACCTGAATCATGTCACCAACATACACTCACATGAAGCTACGAAAACCAACATGTAATCATAACAGTGTAAACTTGACCAAAACACAAGTGTAATTCCTTCAGTATACTAAGTCCGTCTTTAGTATACCAAGCCCGTCTTCAGCATACTAAGCCCGTCTTCAGCATACTAAGCCCGTCTTCAGCATACTAAGCCCGTCTTCATTCCTTTCAAAACAATATAAAATAAATAAAACATAACACCATCACAAAAAAATAATTCTTTGGTCCAGGATGTGTTAAAAAACAACCAAACATTATTCATTCGGCAACAGTGTCTGGTCACTCAACACACGAACACTATGGCAATTATTTGAGGTTCATTCATCAGGTAATATAATTGAGGGTGCAAAATACTCATAAGGTCCGATTATTTAGAAATGTATTAAAAAATATATTCTAAGTTTTATATAGTGAGGTGATATTTTAACTTGACTTACAGTGAATGAAAGATACGTTGTCAACATGATGAATGGACTCGAACAACTGAGCGGTATGAAGGTCGCCTGGGGGAGTCTTGAAACAGATTTACCCTTATATTACGTCATTAAGGCACTTGAAACACATCACCAGGAAAACGTTCTTAATGGTACCTCAAAACGTTTTCTTGTTTCCTATTTAGTCTTAATAGTAATCAGACACGACATATAATTTTTAATTGTACAAAAAACGTGACATCTTGCACCATTTTAAACTTTTTTGCAAAGGTTTCTTACAAAGTTTTTAAGTGTTTCTGGAGACGACTACTGAATGGCACCTTGACAAGACTTTGAAGGTCGTCTGGTCTCTGTCTGACATCCTTAAGAGCGTCCTGATGGTCATCATAAGATCTCTTGGTGTGACACACACACACACACACACACACACACACACACACACACACACACACACACACACACGATAATAATGTAAGTTAAATTTAATATAAAGCCTTTTTTTAGGAAATGTCCCCAGCCTTACCCTCCGCCCAAGAACTTTGGATTTACAACGAAACTTTAACCCAATACTTTGCGCTCGAACGCACAGACACACACACGGACAACTCTCTGCGTACCCTCCTCACCCCCCAACCCCCAACCACCAATGAAAACATAAGAAAATGAAAAATGCAGAAAAAATACTAAATGCAATTAGAACATTATACAAACATTTTATAGCCATGAAAAATATATGAAATTAAATTTTGCTCAATATGAATTTAATTTACAAGATCAAAGACAAAGGTTCCTTCCTTATTAAAAATACCTTTTGACACTTGTACACAAAAGTGCGCTTTTCATATAAACTTCTTCCTAGGGCTGCTTTGAGGCGCTCCCCCCTCTCCATTGGCCCCCGGGGTGTGGAATTATCAGGCATTACAAGGCGGCAAACAACGCCTCGCCTGGCTCCAGCACAAACAACACACAAAGGCGATCGACGCTTTCGTTATGTAAAATTTAATTCGTCCTAAAATCCAGACACGTTTATGGAGTGAAGCCAGGCGGGGAGAATGAACTACCTAGGTATTGTGAGCCTTTGATGAAGGGTCTTGTGTCGAGCGGCGGGTTTTTGCTTCATCTGCTATTCTCTGGCACGGAGGAGTTTTATGTGAGGCATCTCTCGTTCTCGCCTGACAGTCGATGCAAGCGGCAGGTGTGTATGTTTTTCTACCCTAAAGCATTTGCTTTATGAAAACAGATTAAGAATGCTTTTTCAAGTAGAATCAAAGTGATGTCGTGCATATAGCTAGAGGTAAATATTGCAAATTTACACGATACCTGTACCTTCATTATTGCACCACATACACCACCTGATGTTTAAAGTAAGGATCGTCCGATAGTGTCACTTTACACTATTGCCGGAGGTTTGGTAAAAGAGATCGCTGATATAGTCGAAATTTTTTTGGATACAGAATTTGATGTTTCTCAGAGGTATAAACACACCCACCCTCCGTATGGGTCACCTTGTTCGTGGTACACTGTAAGGAACAACGGTATGGTGTACAATAAAGTGGGAACAAGAGCGAAAGGCACCATATTACAACAACGGAACAGCATCTCTATGGAAACCTAACATGGCATTTGTACACAGGAGAGAAGCGGTACACCTCCCTATTAACCAAGCCATTACAGAGAGGGTCGAGATATTAACAAAAAGATAAGCTCACACTTTTAAGCTGCCTTAATAAACCAATAATTTACTTTATAATGATATAATTAGTCAAAATAGCCTACCTGTATATTAAGATCTAATTAGTATGCATTAAAATGTATTAATATGCATTACAACGTGTTGATAGGTGTAAATATCGGAGACCGCGTCCCTGGCTGATGATAATTCTCCATTAGGCATTCAGGGGTGGGTGTGTGTGTGGGGGGTATGTATACCTATACCCCTAGGGTGTTTTTGTACAAGGGTTTATGTATGTTTTATATTAACGTACGGTGGGAGTAGAAATATACCTTACACGTACTGTCGGCCACAAGAATTAGGATACACCTTCGGTTCGTGTTTGAGACAAATTATCTGGCAACAGTCCTGAACAGAACAGACAAAATGACCTGTAATTTATGTTTTATTCCTACATATATGTTATAAATACATTTGTTGTGAATGTTTTACTGGTGTCTTGTAAGCTTACATTACAAGTAATATATTGTATCTAAATGATAGTAAACTTGTTGACGAATAGGATTGCAGTTATCGTAGCCCTCCTCCCCCACTTTTCTCTTACCCTACTTTTCTTTTCCTAATGTTTGGGTTAGTAAAGGAAGGAAGAAGAGTAAATAGAAGAATAAAGAAGGGAAAACAGAAAATAGTTAGAGATAACAGGTGGGGGGAGCCGAGTTTCATCATGCGTCTGGATGCACAGTTTCAACGTTACCAGACAGTTTCGGACCTTCCACCTACAGTGTGTATACTTGTTCCTCTGGCCGACTGTACATTTCATATGAATAGATATATAAAGACACGAGTAACCTTTGTACAGCTCTATCTTCCCCCGGTCTTGACCCAAGTGACGTCACACAACTTCACCCCTCGAGTTCTGTCTTGTTCACGTCTTCTACACGCGCGCGCGCGCACACACACACACGCGCACACACACACACACACGCGCGCGCACACGCTCACAAGCGCGCGCACACACACACGCACAAGCGCGCACGCGCACACACACAAGCGCGCGCGCGCACACACACACACACAAGCGCGCGCACACACACACACACACACACACACACACTAACCACATCTTACAAGAAAGAAAAGAAATAAATCATGACATTTTTATCCTAACTTGAGACGACTTTAAATGTGACTTCGTTATTCACAGACAAATTGACTTTTCCATGTTCACCTGTCACAGAAAACGCACACACCTTCACTCGCACACACCTTCACTCGTACACACCTTCACTCGTACACACCTTCACTCGCACACACCTTCACACGTACACACCTTCACACCTACCTGTATTATTTACAAGAGATGTTTCTACATAAGCATGATCGTTCAGCGAGTTAAACTAACCTAATCTAACCTAACCTAACCCAATCATAACCTAACCCTAACCTCACCTAACCTAACCTAATCTAATCTACATCACTATTAGATTTTTTTTCGCGAAAAAAAAGGCTTAATATTTAGTTAGTGTCGTTCATAAGATATAAATGCAATACTGAAGACAAATATCATATGGTGTATAATTAGTTAAAGATATTTATTGAATGAATGCGACTGCCATAAGACCTTATTTATTCTTCAACTTTAATTCATATATCTCATGAGCTGATTGGTAAGAGGAGAAGGTGAAATATTGGTGATAAATAAGACCATGAGAAGAGAGAAAAATGGGAGGAAGGGAAAAGGGAAAGGAAAAAAGAAAACGAGTAACCCGAGGAGGAGGAGGAATTTAAGGAGTTTGAAGAGAAGGTGAAAGGAAAAGAAGATTAAAGAAGTTCGAAAAGGAGGAAGAAGAAGAAGAGGAGGAAGAAGAAAGACAAGAAAAAGAGTGAAGCCATCTAATGCGACAGGAGAGAGAGAGAGAGAGAGAGAGAGAGAGAGAGAGAGAGAGAGAATAAGAAAGTTGGGCTGGCTGGATGGATGGGTGGGTGGTTGGTTGGTTGGGTTTGGTAGTCGTGTTTCCAGCGTGTATTTTTCCACCTCAAGTCTTCCTAATTAGGCGAGATGCTTTCCTTTAAAAAATTCTCGGCCTTTCATACCCCTCCTGGTTTGGGCATTAGCAATCGTCGAGGCTATGGACCTAGAGTCCCCGGCCGCTACTGCACTAATTACATGTGAGTCAATATCTTCTTTCTGCTGCTCTAGGTAGAAATTGTGGTGTAGGGAGAAGGTCAGAAGAGGTCTGGGGGGAAGTCTGGAAGGGAAGTCTGGAAGGGAAGTCGGGTGGGGGGAAGTCGGGTGGGGGAAGTCGGGTGGGGGAGTCGGGTGGGGAGTCTGGGGGAATCTAAGAGGAGTCGGGAGGGGGAGTCGGGGAGGTCGGGGGGAGAGTCAGAGAGTCGGGGGGAGTCGGGGGAGAAGTCTGGGGAGAAGTCTGGGGGGGAGAAGTCTGGGGGAGAAGTCTGGGGGAGAAGTCTGGGGGAAGTCTGGGGGGAAGTCCAAAGTCGGGGGGGGGAAGAAGTCGGGGGGGGTGCGGGAAGTCTGGGGGGGGTAAGTCAAAGTCTGGGGGAATAAGTCTGGAGGGGAAGTCTGGGGAGGGGGGAAGTCTGGGAGGGGGAGTCTGGGAGGGGGGAAGTCTAGGGAGGGGGAAGTCTAGGAGGGGAAGTTCAGAGGGGGAAGTCTGGGGGGGAAGTCTGGAGGGAAGTCTGGGAGGGGAGTCTGGGAGTGGGAAGTCTGGGAGGGGGAGTCTGGGAGGGGGAAGTCTGGGAGGGGAAAGTCTGGGAGGGGGGGGAAGTCTGGGAGGGGGAAGTCTGGAGGGGGAAGTCTGGAGGAGGAAGTCTGGTGGGAAGTTGGAGGGGGGAAGTCTGGAGGGGGGGAAGTCTGGAGGGGGGGGAAGTCTGAGGGGGGGTGCCTTGGAGGGGGAAGTCTGGGAGGAAGTCTGGAGGGAAGTCTGGAGGGGGGAAGACGGGAGGGAGGGAAGTCTGGAGGGGGGGGGGGTTCAAGGAGGGGGGAATTTGGGGAATTGGGGAATTCTGGGGGAAGTCTGGGGAACCTGGGGGAAGTCTGGGGGGAATTTGGGGGAAGTCTGGGGGGAAGTCTGGGGAAGTCTGGGGGAGTCTGGGGAGTCTGGGGGGGAAGTTCGGAAGTCTGGGGAGTTCTGGGGGGAAGTCTGGGGGAAGTCTGGGGGAAGTCTGGGAAGTAAGTCTGGGGAAGTCTGGGGAAGTCTGGGGGGAAGTCTGGGAAGTCTGGGGAAGTCTGGGGAAGTCTGGGGAATTGGGGAAGTCTGGGGAAGTCTGGGAAGTCTAGTCTGGGGGAGTAAGTCTGGGGGAAGTCTGGGGGGAAGTCTGGGAAGTCTGGGGGAAGTCTGGGGAAGTCTGGGGGGAAGTCTGGGGGGGAAGTCTGGGGTCTGGGGGAAGTCTGGGGGAGTCTGGGGGAGTCTGGGGAGTCTGGGGGGAGTCTGGGGGGGGAAGTCTGGGGAGGGGGAGTCTGGGAGGGGGGGAGTCTGGGGAGGGGGAGTCTGGGAGGGGGGAGTCTGGGAGGGGGGAGTCTGGGGGGGGAGTTGGAGGAGTCTGGGAGGGGGAAGTCTGGGAGGGGGGGGAAGTCTGGGAGGGGGAAGTCTGGGAGGGGGGAAGTCTGGGAGGGGGAAGTCTGGGAGGGGGGAAGTCTGGGAGGGGGAAGTCTGGGAGGGGGAGTCTGGGAGGGGGGAAAGTCTGGGAGGGGGAAGTCTGGAGAAGGAGGGGGGGAAGTCTGGGAGGGGGGGAAGTCTGGGAGGGGGAAGTCTGGGTGGGAAGGAGGAAGTCTGGGAGGGGGAGTCTGGGAGGGGGGAAGTCTGGGAGGGGGAAGTCTGGGAGGGGAAGTCTGGGAGGGGGAAGTCTGGGAGGGGAAGTCTGGGAGGGGGAAGTCTGGGAGGGGGGAAGTCTGGGGAGGGGGAAGTCTGGGAGGGGGGAAGTCTGGGAGGGGGGAAGTTCTGAGGGGGAAGTCTGGGAGGGGGAAGTCTGGGAGGGAAGTCTGGAGGGGGAAGTCTGGAGGGGGAAGTCTGGAGGAGGTCTGAGGGAAAATCTGGAGGGGGAAGTCTGGAGGGGGAATTCGAGGGGGGTCGGGGGGGAGTTGGGAGTCGGAGGAAGTCTGGAGGGGGAAGTCTGGAGAGGGGGGAAGTCTGGGAGAGGGGGGGGAAGTCTGAGAAGCCTGGGAGGGGGGGGGAAGTCTGGAGGGGGGAAGTCTGGAGGGGGGAAGTCTGGAGGGGGGAAGTCTGGAGGGGG